GGGGGGGGGGAGAGGATCGAGCCAATCGAATGGGAATAATAATTCGAAGGTTCGACGAAGCCGAGAGAGGACGAAGCAAGAAGATTAGCAGTGGCAAATCGCAAAAAGAGCTCGAAGTTGAATTGAACGGTGAGAAGTTGTTCAGATATGGCCGCTCTCGTTCAACGCGCCCCTATCACCTCTCACTTATCCTCGGGATTCGCTCTTGGTGATCTTTCCGTTTCCTGTCTCTCACTGCGAACAGAGTATTATCAACCCTTCCAGACTTCTTCTTTTCCTTTCCTTTCCTTCCTTCTTTATCCCCTATTTATATATTTATACGAATGTATCTGATAAAAATTTTATATTTCATGAATATGTTATTAGATTCCATGTGTTCACTGGTGGAAAGAAGTCTCGCGGAAGGAATGCATTGGTCTGGGTTAATTTGAAAGGAAACGCCTATTTTCACACGCATTTTTCTATCATTCACACCATGATATTCGTCACATATACTGATCCAAATCAATGATCTGTATTTAAACTTTGATGCAATTTGATTAATTTGTAAATATAATTTCATATTCGAATAGTTAAGATAATAATTGTATATATATATGAATAAGCTAGATATACTATAAATATATTATTATTATATCGAAATAATTAATAGTTTCGAAAATATTTCAGTTTCCAGTCTTAAATAATTATTCTTATGTAATTTCATAAATGATAATTTCATAAATAATTTTTACGATTTTGAACGTTCAGATTATAACTTATCTATTATTACGTAGCGTGTGGTGTCAGGTTTGTCAACAAAGCGTCTAAAGTGGGGATAAACGGTCCAAGAGAAGGACTTCTCTTGACCCAATACCGTCCTGCGAGACTTCTTTTCAGCAATGAACGAAAATATTATTCACTGCTGGAAAAAAAGTCTCGCGGAAAGAATGCAGGATCTGATTGGTTAATTTGGAAAGAAACGCCTATTTTCACACGTATTTTTCTTTCTACCATGATATTTGTCATATATATCAATTCAAATCAACCATCTGTATCTTAACTTCGATTTTATGGCATTAACATAACCATAAAATTCAGAATATTCTAATGTATCGATATAATATAAAAATTTTTTTATTCCTCATATATGTAGATTATAGTTTGTAACGTTTGATTTATAAATGTTATTTTATATTCGAATAGTTAAAATAATAATTCTACAATTATAGCTTTTCTATTATATATACTATGTGTATTATTCCATTATGTATATGTAGCGTGTGGTGTCAGGTTTATCAACAAAGCGTCTAAAGTGGGGATAAAGGCGGTCCAAGGATCCCTCTTATTCCAGTGCCGTCCTGCGAGACTTCTACAGTGAACAGAAATATTTAGGTGCGTAGCGAAAAGTTGCTTCTTCGAAATATTTATTCCCATTTTTACGTATAAAATTTTTATCCAATATACATGCACGTATATATATACACTTCCATAATATAATTAACATCTAATTAAATTGACTCCTTTCAAAGATTCATATTTTTTATCGCGGTTAAAATTGTTGGATTTTGGATTTTTATTAAATTAATTTTCGAAATTTCTTAATACAAAATTTCGTCGAATTCGACTGCAACTTTTTTCCTAAAAAAATTATCAAGTGTAGTTATTGAAATGATAAATTAATTTAAAACAAATGTGCGACGAATAAGAAATGTTTACACGCAATAACGAATAAGGAATAAAGAAAATATTTCGTTTTCCGTTGCAATTGAATCGACACGTATTTAACAATTTTTCAATTGATGACATTGCTCGAAATTATACTTGCCTTTTTTTTTTTTTTTTTTTTTTTAAAAAACAATACACCCACATTTGGTTTTTTTTTTAAAGAAAAAACCCGAAAAATAAAAAAAAAAAAATTTTTTTTTTTTTATTTTTTGGGGTTTTTTTTTAAAAAAAAACACAATTTTGGGGTGGTTGTTTTTAAAAAAAAAAAAAAAAAAAGGAAAGTAAAATTTCGGGAAATTTCATCAATTGAAAAATTTTAAAATACGTGTCGATCAAATTGAAAGGGAAAAAAAAATATTTTTTTTTCCCTTTCAATTTGATCGACACGTATTTTAAAATTTTTCAATTGATGAAATTTCCCGAAATTTTACTTTCCTTTTTTTTTTTTTTTTTTTTTTTAAAAATCATCAGACCACAATTGTGTATTCTGTTCAATGAATACACTCGAAAATTAAAAAAAAAAATATATGATTTTACGAAATTTATTTGAACTAATAATTGACGGAGCATGTGTGCATTTTAATAATGGAAAGAATTTCTTTAATTTAGAATTTTAAATAGATCAAACGCGACTAAAAAGAATGCAATTTCATGCAAATATGCAAGAAGATTGACTACCTGGAAAAAGAGCGGCCGATTTACATTTTCATTTATCGGGACGTCAAACATCGTAAATTATTTAGATACCACTTTTAAATGCAAACGCGCCATTTTTCCTGTCGCAGTTTTTCACCGCGAACGACTATTACAACCATTCAATCGATATGTCGATTAATGAGTAAAAATAACTGAAAATCAAATATTTCTTTGATCAACGTACACGCGTACGTTAGCAAAAATAATAATATTAAAAAAAATGTATTCCTCAAAATGGAAAGGAAAAGAAAACCATGATATTTTAATCATATTATTTCAACACAATAAAAGTAAGTCTTTTACGAGAACAAAGAGAAAAAGGAAATATATATATTTTATTGTTGTAATTTAAATCGATTCGATGGATTAAATGGAAAGAAATCGAACGAGTTCTCGTAAATTTGATGAATGATCTCATCTTCCGTTTGAGAAAAAATATAAAATAAGAAAAGAATATAAGTGAACAATTGAATTAGACTTACCAAATGTATCTAATAGATTTCATCTTGAGCGCTGTCGAGTTCTCCTTGCATTTGTAAGCCAACACTTGTTTCACACTGCTTACATCGACTGTGGGAAATCTCGATGTCACGTAAGCTTTAAAATTTCAATAAAAAAAAAAAAATGTACTTTCACCAGATGTGCTAAATTAAATATCACTTTCAGCGTTTTCAGTCGCTATTACTACTCTATCCAGTTTTTATATTTTTTTTATACTCTTATCTTTATTGCATCAAATTATACGTATTATTACTTATATAACGTTTAATACTTTCTTTGAATTCTAAATTTCTTTTCACGTTACTTAAATCTTTTTCTCATTTTTCACATTTGAAATATATATTGAAATAAAAAATGTAAAAATAAAAAGATAGGAAAATTTTAAAAGATGAAAAATTAAAGAGAACCAATTCAACGTTGTATCAAATTTTATCGTCATTTTATCTGTTTGAAAAATAAAATAGAAAAATAAACGCGAACGTTTTAGCACTAATATTTATAAACGAATAAATTTAATATCTTTTTTTTTGTTCGTATATTTCGACATTTCTCGCGATTCGGAAAAAAATAGAACGAGGAACTAGATTTTGCTAAGAGGCGAAATTTTATAAAGTGAAATTCCAATTCTCGAACGACCTATTTTCAATCCGAGTAAATGTTTAGACATCGTCGAAGAGTAGTCACGGCTCTATTCTCGGATATCCTGCGTTTACCACGTTTCTTCATACATTTACGTATTCTGCGTTCCTTTCCCATGCATCGTTTCATATTCATTCATATTCGATTGTTCCGTGAAATTTTTCCAAAATCGGTATATTTTTACCAAAGGTATTTTTCTTTTTTTTCAAACAATTTTCATTTAAAATTCGCAAAAATTTATTACGGATTAATTATTATGAAGAAATCAAGAAAGAATATAATATAACATTTCCTTGATAAATTTTCAAAACTAAATTCTCTTACAAGTGCTGACACCTACACGACATAATAACAAAACATTTATTTCTCTCCAACTTAAATACGCGCGAATATCACGATACGTACATCGATAAAGAAACGCATTAATTCCGTCAACTATTCACAAAGATGCCCGTAAGACTGCTACATGTTTAATTAGTTTTACTTGAAAAAAAAATAAAACTCGATTTGAATCTCGTAACTTCGTGTCTTTGCATAACAAAGCAACTCGAGCGTGACTCGAAAAAAATTCTTAACCTATTCATCGTTAGTCACGTTCCATCAATGTCGATTTATTATTTTGTGGAACAAAATACCGATCCGCAAAAAAATAAAACCTGTTACTTTTTTTTATTTCTGTTTTCTCTCTCAGAAACTTTATTCCTTCCTTCCTTCCTTTATCGTTATATATCGCACGAGTATTCACTTTCGGAAATATAAAAATAGAGGTATAAATAAACTCGTGCAATTTCATAACTTTAAACGTATTTTTTCGTAAAAAAAGTTCATAAATTTATTATCCCAATATTTGTTCTAATAAATAACGCGGCTTAGAAACTAAACATTAAAAATTACTTACATATAATAGCCTGGACTTTGGCTTTATCCAAGGCAGGTTTCACCGGTCTCTCAGTGGCAGTCCCAGCTCGACTCCATCGTTGCCCCGTTACCGAGCAAGTGGCCAACTCGGTAGGGCTGAACAAAATTGCAGCCAGGCCACGTGTCAATTTCCTGTAATCGCTCCATTTCACAGCCCTTAGTTGTTCCTCACAAATTGCTATTCCCTCTCCCAGATGCACCTATCGATAAATAACACACGATACGTTTTATCACGGATTACAGATTTTTTTATTTCGAAATATTTTTTAAATTCGAAATATTTATCGTACAAAATATCGAACAACATATTGGCTGTCAAAAACTAAAGCAGCTGTAAGATCAATACCGAAGGAAGGAGGGGAGAGGGGAGTATAAGATCCAAATTAGTCCATTTAAGGTTTTGTAGAGGTTAAAAAGTGAGAGTATGGAAAGAAAATATGTATGTATTTGGAAATTTAAGATTTAGAAATTTACCACGCCATCGGAAGAGGATTCCTCGAAACCACGGAAAGCAGGCATCGCAGCAGGAGGAGTAGTTCTCATGTCCAAGGGTAACCATTCGCTCCTCGATGGCGAATTACCTTGCACGGATGGGGATCCATGCTTTCCACCTCTCGTTCCAAGCCGCGGCCTGCCGCGGCGTACTCTTCGACCTGAATAAGCATTTTTCACACATATACTCGCTCCGCTTCTCTTCTTTACCAACGTATTTCTATCATTTTCCATTCGTTTAAATATATTTTTTTGAACGAAAAAAAAAAAAAAAAAAAAAAAATTTTGCACCAAATATTTTCGTACATTCGAGAAACAAATGATATCAATTTTTCGATGTATATTGCTCGTAAAAATAAATACACGGGATGTGGATCTGGTTTCGCAAGTGCAAAAAGTTTGAGAACTAGTTTAAGCACATTACACGTGTACATAAACTTTAAATATCGAAATCATGTTTACACCAAATGGAAACGGAAAACAATACTTCGTTAGATCGGTAAGTTTCAATCTCGAAATGCAAATCCAATTAAAGCTTGGACCAAAAGTTTCGAGATAAATGTATTACTGGAGGAAACAGTTATAAACAACTATGATATGTTTCATTCCATCTTTATCCTTTGTACAAAAGTAACTGGAAAAATGTTTATTTTATGATGATNAAAAAAAAAAAAAAAAAGCTGGAATAAAAAATAAAAAATAATTGAGAAATATATTCGTATAAAGAAATCATTCGTGAAAATACCTTCGAATTTGTGTTTAAACAAACATAAAGAGAATAATTTTTTTTAATTGCAAAAAGGAGACAAATTCCAATCAGAAAGTGATTCTTTCTTAATTAAAGAGCAAAAAAGACAGAGAGAAAGAGAAATGAAGAGTAGAGCAGAGTGGGAAAAAAAAAAATATTCCTTTGTAATTATCATTTGAAAATGATATCCTTCCTTCGCTTCTAATATCCAATTTCGATATCCTTCGCGTTCAATCGACTAATCGATCGTTGATAAATTACAGATTTCTCGACAAAGATATATCTCTTACGTTTACGGTAACGCCATCTTCCTTTTTTTTTTTTTTTTTTTTTGTTTTTCTTCATCAACCCAAGTTGAACATATATTTATACTACACACATTCGTCGTTAAAAGTTATTTACTTTGAAAGGCAATTTTTTGTAAAAATGTAATTTATATAAACTGATTTATTTGTAAGAAATACTTGTCGTGATGTTATAAATTATTTTCACACAATGAGATCGTTCCTTCTTACATTTCATCCTTCCAAACTTAAAATTAATAATTGAATTTGAAACTTGGTTATTTTGTTTCGTAAAAAGTATTAATTGGAAGTGAGCAAGTGGTTAAACTGTATGCCGTAATTGTTATAGATTGTAGCAAATATTAAAAGTCGTATAATTATTACGTCGTTACGTTCGAAACGAGATTGCTCGATTACACACACACACACACGCGCGAAAAGGCGTGTATTCACCTTTAAGAGACGTTTCATTTAAAGAAACTTAAAACGATCTTATCACCTTATGTACGTATATATATATATATATATATATACAATTATTCGAAAGGAGATGAAATAAAATTGGTAAAACTAAAATATATTTTTATATCGATCTTTTTTATCTTTTTTTTTTTAAAAAATTTCAATTTGTCGAAATTAAAAATAATTTTCAAAATGATAATGAAAAACAAGTGAGTGAACAATATTCGAGTTTAAATTCGAGAAAAATGTGAAACGTTTATATAAATAATTCTTTATGAACATAACATAATTCTTGACATATTTTTTTTTTTTTTTTTTTTTTTTTTTTTAAGTGAAAATGTAATTCAATCATCGAAATTAAAATTAAAACGTACGCAATTTATATTTACGATTTGTATCACGATTTCTCGTTTAATTTAAATTTTTTTAATCGAAGCTTTTCTTTGGCAAATAAACAGAATTAAAAACAAGAAAGCGTAAAATAATTAATAACGAAGGTGTCGTACAAATTTGAATATCCTTTATTCACCGATATCTTCGCGCTGATAATCGAAAGATTACAATCAACCGGTGGATTAAAACACCGATACAAATAGAACGCATCATGATTTTTCAAACCATGAGAAAATTGTCCGCGATATCCGTGTATCGATATTTTCAATCTCAATGGTTCATACCTTATATTATCATCCGTATTAAATATCATCTATCGTTTCGATTCTTTGAGAAAAAAAAAGAAATTCTTTCTTTCGTCGAGAAAAGTGTTTTTTCTTTCTTTTTTTTTTTTTTTTTAATATACGAGTCTTGTTTACGTTCGTCTTTTTTTTTTTTTTAATATACGAGTCTTGTTTACGTTCGTCTTTTTTTTTTTTTTTTTAATATACGAGTCTTGTTTACGTTCGTCTTTTTTTTTTTTTTAAATTCGAAATGAAAATCCAAACACGAATATAATATTGCCGCGCGAACAATAGAACGATAACTTTGTTAATTAATTGTTGGATGATGCTTTATGCGCTAAATTATTTGTAATTTGGAAAGAGAGAGAGAGAGAGAGAGAAAAAATCGAGAAAAATATAAATCCTCGAAAAAACAGGTTTTTTTTTTTTTTAATATAATCTTCACGATAACATTTAACCGATAGATTTAAACAAATAAAATAAAATGGCGGTCTCGAAACGATGACGCGTTAAAAATGTAATTATTTCTAGAATTCAATTCCTCCATGATATAATAGTTTGATATAATATATTTTGATGATCAAATATATAATTTTAAATATTACTCTTTTTACATTTAATATCGTAAAAAATGTATCGCATAATGTTATATGATGTTATAATAGATCGAATTAAAGATACAAAAGAGACAGAGCGATATAATAAAAAAGTGTACTTTAAGGAACATGTTGTTATCATCGTGAACAGCATCGAATGTATTCCGATCGAAGATATCAGAAAAATGTGTTCCAAACATGAAAACACACCTATTCTTTGTTCAATCCTTTCTCCTTCAATTTAAAGACATTTTTCTAACATCTTGATTACATACGTATGTTAATATCGTAATAATATAATATAATCTAAATCGATATATCGATAAATTAGAAAAATATTACTCGCAAGAAAGAATCATCCAACAAATATTCACACACACACACACACATATATATATACATACATACATACATATATATATATATATATATGTTATTAAAAATAAAAAGAAAATAATAATAATAATAATAATAATAATTATCGATAAATCAATAATAATCAGTCGTAAAATTAAAAAAAAAAGGGAAAACAAATTTCCTTAAATATTTACACTCATTTTTTCTTTCTACGCAAGTTGGATTAAAAAAAAAAAAATGCGAAACAATTAAATAAAATAGGAACATAAAAATAAGGCGAGAGATTTGAACAATTTACAATTATTAATCACGCGTTCAACAAAAATTTACAAAAAAAAAAAAAAAAAAAAAAAAAAATATGTTGATAAACGTTTATAAAATTCCTTTCGAATATCATTTATCATCAGATATATATATATATATATTTTATTTAAGTATCGCGATAATTCTTTTCCTTCGATCGATAAACAAACTTGAAGAGACAATTAATTAATTAATTAATTAATTAATTAGTTAATCGCACGGACAATTATATACGGGAAAGGAACTTTATCGATCAACTTTAAAAACTATTTCTGCGATTAAAATCGTTCCCACTTAACCCACGTCTATGTATTTTCTTTTACAATAAATAATTAATCCTTACACTTTGGACGAATGAAATCGACGTCCAAAAAATGTATTTTTTTCTTTTTCTTTTAGTACTGCGTTTAAAATCGTTTCGAAGATCGTCGAATTAATTATTTATCGTTCACAATAATTACTCATGTAAAATATAAAA